CCCGCCTCACCCAGGCGGGAGCAGTCATTAGATAATTTTCCCCACTAAAAAAAAAGACTCACTACATGGGCTACATAAAATAACTAGTGTGCCTTAAATGGAAAATAAAAAGTGCCACAATAAGGAATGATATGTTTGCTTATCCAATACTTTCAAAAATAGGTACCTTCAAGTAACGTTTATGCCATCGGGTAATGCCATAAATTTTATTTTATTTTAGTAGGTCAAGCTTCAATTGTCGTTACATAAATACGTTTCGTAAAAATATTAAAATTACCGACTTAATACGATCGTAAGTGCAGTTGTAAATTGCAGCTCTAATCATCGTTATTATGTTTATTGATTTGTTACCTCATCTCTTATTATACTGACTCAGATTCAGGGTCCAATATTTGAAACTGGGGTATAGGGTCATATCGTACTTATAGTTTAACGACGTCAAAAACGGTGACTGCACGTTGGCGGGATGGCTGAACAATCAGTGCTGCGCAACGTTGGTCTGGGTGTCATATGTATGGTTGTGAACGCACTCATGCACGATACGAAATTCAAGTGTAAGGCAACATTGTTTTAAAAAAATCTTTGTATTAAAAACAAAGGTTTCCAATTGAACTGCAATCATCTTCTACTTCAAATCGTAAGCCTTTAAACTAATGTGTATGTAAATGTAAAAGACATATGTTTTATGAATAGTATTTGCATAACTTGTTACGCCAAAATTGCTGATACGATTAAGATGAACTTTGGTAAACATTTTAGAAATCCTACTCATATTATAAATTCAGTTTGTATGTAATTTTTAAACAAAATAAAAGTTCACACAAGCTTTATGAAATAAATATAAATAAAAAAAATATATAAATAAAAAAAATACTATTAGTATCGTGAATTAGTACAAGTTTTGTTTGAGGAATTCACATTTAATTTAAACGTCTGCCTCTAAATTACTCGGCGCACAACGCCAAAAAGGTTATTTTCTTTCGGTCTTTTTGGCTGGATTTTAGTGCTATATTGTTCTCGCACAATCCAAACAACAAAAATATGTAACTAGTGAATTGTATTGTGAACCTGATTGTAAAAGAGTAACCTATGGAGTTCCTTGCTCGTTCTTCTCCATAGGAATCTACACCTTGGATTGGAAAGAGCAACTAGCTTCAGTTTTAATTTTTTTGTCTACGTTCAAAAGTGTCTTTCTGGTCTAATTGAAATAAATGATTTTGACTTTGACTTTGTTACTTTCTATCCTACGGAAATGCGAGAATTTGAGTCTTCAATACTGGCAGTATAGTTTACAACTCAGTTTTGGAGAATCGGTTGCCAAAGAAGAAAAAAAAATTGAGTGGAAGTAAGGAAATAACTGTTTCATAAATTCCTTGTTATCATTATAACCAATAGCTCGTCACCCGTAGGCCTCTCTAACCGACTTCAAAAAGAAAAAAGGAGGTTCTTAGAGTGACGTGTACCTATGTATATTTGTGCGCGATCTCGTGATTGACTGAACCGATTTCGATGCGATTTTCAATAAAGTGTTTGTTTCATATACGAGAAGGCTTTAGTATATCAATTAAGTTTTTTTAAACGTACTTGATTAAAGAATCATTTACTTAATAGGGTTAAAATTTTTGTCCACACTCGACAGGCGAATAATTATGAAGAGCTATTTATTTCATTTCATTATGTTAATAAAGTTTTTCTTTTGTTTATCAAAGAATTAACAGGAATCTGACGGAAACAACTTACCTAATTGAAAGCAATTTGTAAGCAAAAGATATAATAGATTAATAAAATTATTATTATTAGATATTTATCACTTTATGCTCTTTGGATACGACCTTTAAGTATTGTCTGACGCAAATAACAAGGATACTAAATGTAACAAACAAATACAATATGATGTAGATATAATGTAGATCAGAGGCCTTAGTACGAGTTTGTTTTCCGTATAAAGTAACCGAAACGAGACCGTGTTCACGGGCTCTTGATTGATTGGTGCATTTGAGCCAGCCAATCACAGCGGCGAATGCGTACTCGTAGTACTCGTAGACTACCTCATACTAAACTTCCTGGTAGTGCTCTTTGATAAACTTGAATCAAAGAGATTATAGCAAATATAAGAGACTAGCTACTTCCATATGGTACATTTTGCTCGGCTCCTATAGACAGAAGCGTGATATTTTATAGCCTATAGCCTTCCTCGATAAATGGACTATCCAACATAAAAAGAATTATTCAATTCGAACTAGTAGTTCCAGAGATCGCGTTCCAACAAACACACAAACTCTTCAGCTAAAGGTTTAAGATTATAGAAGAGGCTCAGTGGCAGTGGACTATTAAAGGCTATTGATGATAATCATGATTGGTACTTGGACAATCTATTACCTAAACTAATCCAATTTGTTTCGCAAGATAAATGTAATAAAATAAAAAATCTTAGTAGCACAGAGTCTGGAATTGTACCCGGTATATGGCAATAGGCTCACCCCCTATTACATGGGATTCATAACATAAATAATAAAAAGTGGGCGCTACATTGTACAGTGGCATAAAGTGCCGTAATGTGCACCTCTGCCTACCCCTTCGGGGATAAAGGGCGTGATGTTATGTTATGTTATCTAATTTAGATTTATATTTATGTTACAGTGGTGTTGACCTGCAGAGGTCAGCGGCCAGCCTCCTTGCCTTTCGGTTCAGACAGCTTCAGGACTATAGTGAGGGGACTCAGCAGTAAGTGTCACATTCACATATAGTAGCGGGTGTCGGGATGCTTTAAACCGGCTAGACCCTTTGGCAATGCGTAGAGATGTTGCTTTGTTGTGCATTTTCTACAGCTTATACCACGGGGAGCATACCACCTACCGCATCTCTTCGCCATCGACCCCCACAACAGCAGATGCATCCCCATCATATAGATGGTTGGCAGGCCACAACTGTGCGCTTCTCACGTATCTTTCTGCCTTGCACATCAAAACTGTGGAATGATCTGTCGTCGGCGAACCGAACAGATACGACCTTCAAACCTTCCAGAAAAGAACGTATTCCTTTTAAAAGGCCGGCAACGCACCTGTGACTCGTCTGGTGTTGCGGGTGTCCAATCGCGGTGCTGATCGCTTACCATCAAGTGCCCCGTCTGCTGGTTTGCCTCCTATTCCATAAAAATACATGATATAGGTCAAATGAGATATAAACCTAGAGTGCGCTCTAGGTAAGCACCTCATAGGCGCCTCTAATTTATTTTTGTCGCCGCTGTCACTATGGGCACGCATATTTTGTTAATGCTTATGTTTTTACAATAACGTATTTTCCAATTTTTATTACTGTTATAAAATAAACACCTTGTTCAATCCTTTTTTATTGATAAAAAGTATGATGAAACCAAAGTGTTCATTTCTGTCATACGACAATAACAATATTGAGCCCAGGTTTGTCTTAATCTACTTTACTCCCCCTGTAATCCCTGCACCGCTCCTCAAAATAAGGTATCGAGGTAGTATTGATTATCTTAACAAAATTCTTAACTTTTACAGCCGCTCCTGGCCGTTCAGCAGTAGTTGACGACATAATCATCCGATATTTCAGGTAAGCCATTACGACAAACTACCTTTTGATTACTGTTATAAGGCATTGTTTTCATTGTATTAGGTCAAACAGTTTGGAATCTAAGTAATAGTGTAAGTGGGCTATTTGTCTGCAATACAAACAAATTGTTACTTATGTAACATTTTGAAAATTGGATGGTAAATACCTTACGTAGCTACTATTTATGACATTATATAAAAATGAGGGCGTGAGCCATTTCAGCAAAATTAGTTTGTTTTATTAAACTTTCGTAAGATAATAATATATTGAAATAATTATTATGTTTTCGGCTAACTTACGTACTTATTCGACGAGGAACTCGACTAGTTTCAAGCCATGTTAGAGGCTCCTATTCATCCAGTAGCAGCGCGACAGTCGCCGCGTCGCGGGTAGAGGAATGCTGCTAATGAATATGAGCCTCTAGCATGGCTTGAAACTAGTCGAGTTCCTCGTCAAACAGTTACGTGAGTAAGTTGAAAAACATAATAATGAATTATGTTAGGTATTTTTAAGGTCTACTGTTCTTTAAATGATTTGACCTTCGTTTGCTGAAGTTATCACGAATGCCATCGAGCACGAAGACTTGAGTTGCCAGTCTGCTAAGCGTGGAAATTATGGCACACTCTCATGTATACAGAGGAAGCCTTTGATATAGAGACCTGCCACGCACTGTTATTATTGATGACGTTTATACCATTTGGACTTTGCCTATTATTAATATTCTAATTCAAATATTGTTGAAATGTTAAGGAAATCTTCACGTATATACATTACATACGTAATTAAACGCGGATTGAACTTAGAGAGCTCCCTAGGCGAGCACCTCACAGGCGCCCCTATTTTTTTGGCGTGGGTTCTCTGTAACTTGGCGCCCTCAGCACTTACCTAATTTGTCTTAGGAATAATGATAATAGGGCTCTGTATGTAATTCTTTTTATTATAACTATCGTGAGACATACTAAATTAACTACGTGATTATACTGAGAAAAGCTCTACTACCTCTAGTTTCGCGAGTAGGCTGCGCGACATCGCCGCGACCGCGCACGCTGGTCATGAGGAAGAACCCCCTGTAGTTCGAAACTAGTTGAGCTTTTCTCAGTATATTCACGTGAGTAACCCGTGTGAACCACCCTGTACGCACTATAGATTCATTAAAGTGATTTGAATTTTAATTTTTAGTTAATTTTGTATGTAATTGCTGTTTTTCCAGTACAAATGTGACGTCTCCGAGTTCTTACCGTATCGCCAACATCAAGGCGGTGCTGTCAGACCCAGCGTTTGACGTCAAGAAACCAACTGTACTTTACGCCCATGGGTGAGTGACGCAACCAATTTTTTTGTTCAATTTTTTTAACTGTTGGTTGAATGGTCGCGAC